TAACTTCTGAAGTGACACATAAAAAAAAAACAAATCATAACTTCAATTAAAAAAACAGGCAAGAATAATTGCTGTTCACTTTATTGTTCTGTTGAATGAAGAGAACCTTTGAGAGATCATTTGCAAAAGTCAGTTCCTAATTTTGAAATTTAAAAAACAAACAAAAACAAAACAGACACAATATTACCACCTCCATGTAAAGTTTAGTTTGTGACATTCCCTTCAACAATTTCTTACAAAAGGAAAGTGCTTCCCCAACCACAAAACCATAAACAATCATGTAACAGTGATTTGATTTTATACCTGCTGTGCTAACTCCCTGGTTGGTGCCAACACAAGAGCCTGACATTCCAGTAAAGACACATCAATCTGCTGCAAGATTGAAATGGAGAATGTGGCTGTTTTTCCAGTACCAGACTGGGCTTGTGCAATAACATCAAGTCCTAGAAAACAAGACATCAATATGCAACCCATGAATGCATTATCTCTGCAAGCTAACTGATGCACAAACAAGGTACACTTTATCTTTCATGAGAAGTCTCAAGACCAACACCCCCCCTCAATACTCTTCCTTTGTTAGCCTCAAGATGAGAGAAAGCCAAGAGTGGCCCAGATTTAAAATAGGCAAAAAGTGACACCCCTTAATGTTTTGGTAACCCTCTGATAAAAAGTGACACTCCTTTGTGTTTTGACGACTCTTTATTAGTGCATTGTAAGTATTTCTCATGCTTCATACGAGCACTAAACTACAATTCATCAAAGGAAAATTTGCTTTTAACCCTTTTACTCCCAGAAGTAACTAACATGTAGCTTCTTCCTATAATTTCTAGACACTATCTTGCAATCTAGCAAACAGGTAATGAGAATACACAAACTTATCCAGTAAAAGTTGTTATCTTGATCAAACACCAAATTCTGGTTAAAAATAATCCTTATCTTGTATATTTGGATAGGGTTCTTTCTTTGAAGGATTCCTACTATTATTTTGTAAGCAAGAGTCCCATGACTGTCTATACTGAAAAATAGGGCCATTTAACAGCTGATAAAGATAAGCCCATAATTTGCTTTGAAAAGAAAACTCAGATTTCTATGCCTTATTCATTGTAGAGCACATTCAAGAAACTTCAACACAGGTAACACTAAGGCTGCAATAACCATTAGAATTTCCAGCCTCTCTACTAATAGCCTATTTGCTTTGCAATGTTGAGATTGTTTCAATATAACATTTCCACCACAAAGGCCACAGAAAGTTTTATGCCTAATGTAAGCAATCTTTCAAATTTCCAAAACAGGTGGTTTGTTTTCACTTTCACTTGAAAAATCAGTTGCATGGGATCTAGACTTAAACATGTTTCAGGGAATCAATACTGAACACTGCACATTTCCACAAGCAGGATCCACCAAATCCACCAAAGAATCCAATCATTTCACTGAACCCCAATTTTTGATTCAAAAGGTTTACATCCAGCCTAAAAATATGCTTTACAACTAGATACAATCCACCACGAAACTGCTAATGTTGCGGAACACTGCACATACTCACAGTTTCACATCTGTAATTTGTTTAGGCTATCCACCCAAAAACCTGATCATACTACCAATCACTGCACATTAAGACTTACAGCTTTGCACCTAGACTACAAACATGTTCCAAATTTTTCCCCCTTAAACAAAAATGTTCCCAATTCACAGTGCAATACACATTTAAACTTGCAAATTCATATAGACAGAAGACAAGTTTCAAAATGTTACACATTCTACCCAAAGTCTTGATCATTAACCAAATGCTGCACCATGTTGACTACCAAGAATAGAATGTAGAAGAATCTGAGTTTCAACATGTTGCAATTTATCACTCCTTCATACATTCGTATGTTTGCTGAAAAGTGGTCACTGTCGTGATCAAGAAGGAGCAATTCAAAGTTGTATTCTATGCTGATTTACAGAAATGATCTGGTTTGGGGCTTACCCCAAAATAACTAATTCAAAAAGTCTTTTTGAAAACTTGATGTTCAATTGTTACTGAAATACGAAACTTATTCTCAGAGAACTTTCACCAGTCAGTTGACTGTAAGTTGAAATTGCCCATTATTTAATTCTTAACATTTTACTTCACGAATCACATCGCGCACTTGTGCGCTCCTATGTACTAGTTAAATATACATCTTTTGGAAAAAAATTAACCTCAACATTTTCAGCGACAAGACAAAGATTTCTACAACAAAGCAACAAAATGCTAAGAAAGACTATTGCGCTTTTCAAATTAATCCACTGACTTACCTTTACCTAAGCATTGGATTTCTCTTTTCACAGCGTTTCCACTAACAATTCAGTGTGATAAATTTTTAAAAGATAACACTATGCAAGTGATGGTTGATCATAATTTTTTTCACTCCAAGGAATACTGAGCACAAAAGGACAGTAGTGAACCCCGATCCTCCATAAGTTATTTATTACAGTTAAAACTGATCATAAAATACTGCTTTGATCAGGATGAACGTATGGCACTAACCTTTACAACAAGGTATGATAGCTCTCTGTTGAATTGCTGAAGGTTTTTCAAACCTGAAATCGTAAAAATATCGTTGATGTTAGGTTTACGCTAATGCTTGATTTAATTCAACGAAGATCTATTCGTCTATAATGAATTGAATCGAGCAGTTGTTGGCAAAGTAGACACTCACCCGTAAGCATAGATGCCTCGGAGTAAATTTTCTTTCAGGCCCATGTTATCAAATTTGTCAACAACTTCGTTCCAATTAGTCTGAAGTATAAAAAAAATAGAACTGTAAGAAATTGACAATAAAATTTACTCAAAAGCATGAAACACGAAAGACAAAAAAATTCAGCTTTGTTTCACACATGTTAGACTTTGAACGAACCTCGATATCTCCGTCCTGTTCCATTCCTGGTGGACCATTTTGCTCGTCACGACCCCGGTCGGAGTCAGGATTTCTATGAAAAATTTTCAGACACCATAAGAGAAGAATCATAAGAGTTACGCAAGAAAAATGCTCACCAGCCGACTGAAACACGTGGTTCAAAATGGCGGTCGGTGGCGAAAAATTACAATTTGAAGACGCAATTTCCTCTCATCGTTAAGCATCCTAAGCTAGCTTCTTCATTTAAATTATAGCAGCTAAATTGCGCCTGAACTTATACTGCAACAGATGAAAGGGCTGAGAAGAGAAATCCATCACAGAATAACGAAAAACCAACCTAGTATCAGCGTAAGAGTCGTAAGACATGTCGCATGAGATAAGCAGCGGGAAAAGGAAGAAAATTGTTAAGAGCCGGCAGATAGGGGGGTGAATGAATTACCCTAATAGTACCCTATGACGTCACTTGACTTCCGGAGACTAGTCACGAATATTTCTAATTTTAACAAAGTTGTTTCTAACAACATTTCAAGATCACGAGAATTTAGACAGATTTCTCATTTTCAAAAATTTATTCTTGAAAAATATATCCGTCGGAACTCAGAGAAGAGGTGAATTTTACAAACGTGATTCGCGAAATGATCTTGGATGATTCAAATTCATGTGAATAAGGAAAATGCAGGGGCGACCCTCTTAAAAGATTAAGAGGCTGTATTGTGCCGATAAGTCCTTGGTACTACATACTCTGGTTAACTTTTCATGATACATGACTTGACTTTAAACTCAAATTTATTCTATTGGAAATAATTTAGGTCTGAAAAAGAAAATTATATTAAAAATTCTGGTTGCTATGACCCCATCGAAGAAGGTCAAACAGCTAAAAAAAGACAATGAAAAGCACGTAATTTATCTGGTCAAGTTCAAACTCTACAGCCTCCTGCAACTACCAAACATGATACAGCACAAACGGCTGAGTGGGACACAGCCCATGGGAAGAGGGTTTTTTCAATGAAGTATTTGATGCACTGTATAACAATGCAAACCCCCACCCCCACAAAAAAGTGTTTATAACATGGCTGGCGGTATTTTTTTTAGAGGGGCACCTTTTTTCAGAAATTTAAGTTTAGAGAAGAGCGCAGATGACTTTCATCTATTGCAAAAAAGGGTAAAATAGTTCTAGATACAAGTTCCTCGCAGGTGAGCGACAATCTAAGTGATGGCGAAAAGAACCCTGAACGGAAAAAAAATTCAGGCTTCGATGGGGTTCGAACCCGTGCCTCTCATACACTAGTTATGAAAATTGTTTCAATAAAAAAATCTGATCATTTTCTTTCTTGCATTCATTTTTTTTAGTGCCTCACCTTAACCAAAGGGTTTTGAAATCCGTATTTCCATCGTTAACTAGGCGATTTGTGCGCACCTTGTGAATTAAGTCACCTCCGTGTTTAAAACATATTTGGAATGTGTATCTCTCTGGTTTAATTTTGTAAATAACCTTAAAGGTGTATGTGGAGCGGCTTAGGCGAAGCTTTCGTCCAAAAACACTTTGCTTAATGCGACTCTTTCTCCATGAGACTGCAACTACAACTGATCACGATCTTCTTTTTTCCTACTTCATCGTTTCAATATTTACTATCATTAACATTATGGTTATCAAAATTATTATTACATTTTATTATTTTCTATATTTTTCCACTCAACCGACTAACCCAGCAGAGAAGGAATTACGACTTGTCAAAGACTATTTTGAGTGTAGTTAACCTTTATGATTGGGGCTGTGGATCCGTATAAAATCCTCTCCTTTTTGAGAAAATTATTCAATAATCACATGGTTCCTTCTTCTTAGTTCAGCAAGCAATATTTTATAGAACTTCCTGTAAAACAGGAAGTTTTTTTTTAGAAAAAAACAAACATAAACTGAACGAGTTTCCCCCTAAATGGCATTTTGATTCGATTGACCGGAAGCCCAATGTCTTTCCTATGACCGGAAACCGCCGAATGAATATTGAAGTTTACGGACTAATTTGGAGTGTTCTATCTCTAACGCCCTTAAAGAAGTTGTATAAATAAAGTATAAGCATTTCTTTTGTACAATAAAGAATAACTAAGTTAACCAAGACAGTAATCACACCTCTACCAGAGACAATTTTCCAACCTTATACACATTACGGTGGCCGTTCTACATTACAAATTCGGTTGATAAAACCAAATGACATTTCAGATCTCAGAGTTATAAGGCAGTTGTTTAATAGTTACTCATTTACAATGGAGGTCCTTGGTAAGGATACTGTTTTGAATTTAGCAGAAAAAGTCACAAAGACAAAGCAGTGGAAAGCAAAACTTAATGAAGGAAGTAAGGTGGTAATCAACACAAGAGGAAAACATTGGAAAGAAAATACAGCAAAGGAAGCCGCAAGGAAATTGAAACCAGAGGTGAAAATGAAACATATTTTCGTGTAAATTATTCCAGCAAAAATGAAGCGTTTTTCTATCAAATAGTGTCGAATCTTTTCAATTTTTAAATAGATAGTTAAACTTCCTTCGCAAACGAACAAATCATCCCAAATGCGACTGGCAATTTAGACAGGTATCGTGCTCGTACGAAATTTGATGAAGTGCACGGCTCGTTTGTGTTTGATGACTATGCTCGCGTTTTTAAGTCAAACTAAATTGATAACTATGGGAACACTTAAATATTTGTCACCTTTGCGATCGAGGTCTCTTTTACTCTTGCTAAGCCCAAAACACGTATTAACTTTATTTATAAAAGTTCTACCTTGAGACAGTATTTCCGCACGAGAGATTAAGAAACGACGATGCGAATGAAGATTGTAAATTTTAAGCCCGGTGGTTTTCAAGTGAAAGATTTTGTTATTTAGTGAATGACACAAGCACACTCGGAGAGAAAGAACTCTATCCGAGTGCTCCTAAGAGGAGTCAAATGCACAACCTCCCGATTGTACTTCGGGTGCTCTACCACTGAACGAAAGTAGACTCGTGACAGGCCGGTTATGGGCCGTTTAACTAAGACCATGGTGTCAAACTTCCTTCCTACTGCCGGGATAGTTTCGATATGTAATACCTCTGCGTAATTAAGATGTAGGTAAATGAAGATGGTACATTTTAATTCTGGTGATTTTCAAGTAAAAGACGATATTAATCAAGATTTAGGTTCCCGTGCGATATTTGGTTTGTCTCAATTTTCCAAGTTCAATTAGTTTCAATCCGTGTTCATCTGCAACCATCCTCACTTCTTTTTCTATGAATTTCTGCTTAAGACGTAAAAAGGAAATTATATTAATTATCAGTGTATGTATGTATTATCAGTAGCCCCGTAATGGGCTCCTAGTATTATTTTCACCTGACATAATACATGCAGTCGAGATACTGCGGATTATATTCTCTTTATGCAGTTCTGCTTCACTTCGGCCTCGTTTACCTCAGGTATTTTATGCAGTTCTATGTAAATGCTTATCTTAGATATGCATGTCGTTTTATTTCAGTGGAAAGAGCTTATCAAGGTTCCCACATATTTAACCACACAAGAACCAGGCCGTGAGGACAATGTGGTGTCTAAGGTGTTGACTCTGTTCCAACAAGCGACATCTATCTGTAGTTTAGAGGCAGAGCTGATTTTTAAGGATTATTCAGTGACCGTGAGAACATCTGGTGGACATGAGCAATTCGCTCGATGCCGCCTCATTCTAGACACGGAGAAAGGTAAAATTAAGTTCAAAGTCCACAAGTCGGCCGCTCTTGCCCTGGTGGTACCTGGTGCCGTGACCAAAGCCGTGCTTGCTTTGAACACCGCCCTTAGTTGTCTTCCTCTTCAGACCAAGTCGTCAATTGTCAAAGCGTTCGATGCCATCTTCAAAGTGCTCACAGCCGGGAGCTCCATAGATGACGTTACGACTCAGGATGACGTCAGCAACGACGAAATGTTCGAAGACGACGTCATCGATCCGGAAAAAGCTCCGAATGAGGTAGCCTTCACTGCCCCTAGTAAGTTGTTTTCTACGATCTTAAAAGTGGATGTTGAGATAATATGCCCAAGAAATGTGGTCGTGGAGTTCAAGAAAAGAGAGATCTTAGCTGCCTTGAGGAGACAGAGAGTGGTTCTGGATGCGAATCAAAGTCTGCAGATCATCAAAGAACCCCGCGTAATTTTAAGAGGGAAACAAGTCCAGGCAGCAATGACAGCTCTAGCCTTATGGGTTTCGTCTTGTTCGCAATTTAACGCTTGGCAAAATACTTTTGAAGTTGTGAAATGCTTGCAGAAAGCCCGCCCTTAAACGCACTGAACGATCAAATGATAAAAAGGCTTTTTACAAGCACAATGATAAAAATTTTGTGATTCCTAGCTGTTTACCCATGTTAAACTACGGCACTAAATTGTTTTTTTTTCTTTTCCGTTGTTGCGTGTTATTTCGTTCAGAGACCCCTCACCAGAAAACATTTCTAATAAAAGCCGCGAGAATTCTATTTATGCTTTTTGGGCGATGCAGCGATGAAATGCGGTAAAACGGTAAAATAAGAAGGCCGAACTTCACCCGATCTTGACCCAATGTCAAATTAAATGAACGCTAATGAACACAACGCAAAGCGTACTACACATGAATATTCCTCGTTCTTTTATCCATGTGCCGAAACAAGCAAGTTAAACATGTATATACCTTGTTCTATTATCCATGAGCCGAAACAAGCATTTGCATATTTCTTGTTTTACGCAATACCAATTTTTCAAACGCTTTGAAAAATAATATATTACAACTTTTTTGCCTTATTAACATCACAAATTTCACAACAACAAATTTATGCAACTTCTTGGCCTTATTTACATCATCTAATTTAACTTCAACCACACTTTATAACAGAAACCGGTGTAAGAATAATAACGAAGCTCATCGAGGCACGATTAACGATTCAAAACTTTGTCGAAAATTGTCTATTACGCTTTAAGGAGATAATGTTCTACACTTTTTCGAATATTG